CGTGCCCGCTCAGAGCCCCCTTCCTCTCACGCATGCCCGGCCCCTCACACTCAGCTCTCACTCGTCCCTTTTGCGCAAGCATGCTTCCCACACACGTGCCTTGCACACGGGCGTCTCCCGGACACGCATGCCGCTATCAGACGGCTGTGCCTGTGAAACCCTGTGTGGGTCTAACACGCTCGCACACGTGTGTGTCACACACATCCCTCTCACATGTGTCACACACGTGCCTCTCACATATGGGGGGGTCACACACAACCCCCAGTCACCGTGAATCTTGCACACAGTCACCTTAACCCTGCACTCTGGCACTCCCCCGGGTGGGGACCGTCCCATGCTGTCCGGAGTCGGGTGGGGCCCAGAGTCCGGCTGGGGAGCCTCTGGGCTGAGGCTCCCTTACAGGGGGCCTGGGTGCCTGGGGGGAGCGCAGGGAAGGGGCTCTTCAGTCAGGGGTGGGCCTGACTCCCCACCGCTCATCTCCCCGCTTTGCCCTGCATTCTCTCCCCTGCCCACTCTCCCTCCTGCTGTCGCAAGGTCTTGTCCCAGCTCAGTTTGTGACTGCCACTTGGGCTGCTCCAAAGCTGGTCTGAGCCAGCAGGTGTCGCCTGAGAGGCCAGAAAAAGAAAAAAATTGGGTGCTGATCATCTCCCAGGGTCCCTCAAATAAGGGTGCCAGTCCAGGGCCCACAGAGAGCAAGCCTGGATGCCTGGGCCTCCCATGTGTTTGTGGCCGAATGACTGGGGCTCTGAGCCTCCCCTTTCCCACATGCAAATGTGGGTGAAGGTCCACACCAGGAGGAAGGAGGGATTGGGAACCACTGCCCCTTGACTTCCCAGCCTCCCGTCCTGCATCCAGGGCTGTAACGGGGAGTAAGGCTGGGGACCACTGAAGTCAAAGGCTCTTACTCTGGAGGTGCAAACTTGCCAGCCCCTATTGAGGCTGGCCCTGCATGTTTTGTTTCGCTCTTATCATACTATTATTATTTTTAAAATTTTAATTAGCTGCCAGCATTTACAAATCGGCAGATTTCACATAGAAGTCCAGATTTCCGTCTTCTGAGAAATCACAGGTTCTGGAGGCTCCAGACCACACCCCCGCGTGGTGCCATCGGCTAGTGCTGCTCGCCTGCTGCCCCGGGTGGGGCAGGAGGCTGCTCGGCCACAGTTCCCGCCAAAACCGCCTCACGCTCTGGGCTCCTGCCGGGCCCGTATAGACCTCTGTGTTGGCTGCGCCTGCTGGGTAAACTGGGCCGTTTTTACTGCATTGCCCGCACCACACCTAGGCTGGTCCCCCTCACCCGTGGCTGGGGAACCCTTGGCTGAGCCTTGTACTGCTCAGGTGTACCTTAGAGGTGTCAGTGAGGAGGGGTGTGCCAGGGGCCTGGACCACGGGGCGTCGTGTTGGTGGCAGGCGCCGTCTGCTGGACTTCGGGGGTCAGGAGCCTGGGGGCCCTATGGGAGGAAGGCAGTGATCTCAGAGCCAGGCCCCATCCTTTCTTTCCTCCCCAGATCCTGTCCACAGTCCTACAGGGTCACAGTTTTACGCCTATTGGAAAGATGGGGAAACTGAGGCTTAGAAAGAGTGTCCCAGCAAGCAAAGGGCGGAGCTGGGATTTCAATGCAGGGTTTTCTGACCCTAAAGCCAAGCTCTTTGCCCACCTCTCAACCAGTCCATGAGAGGAGGGACTGGGTCTCGTTAATCCTGGGCAAATTTCCCAAACGAGGTTCACACCTGACATGCAGTAGGTGCTCAATCCATGCTTGGGGACCAGCTCCTGAGTAAGTGAAGGGGCCTTCTCGGCGGGGGTCAAGGCGGAGCTCAGTTCAGGGCCTCGGGGAGGATCTCACGTGACCGAGGGCTGCTGCCATTCCTCTGGCGCCTGGCACACTTTCCGGCTCTGGTCCGGCCGTGGCTGGGAGCCCTCGGGCTCCCGGGTGAAGGCCCGGTGCCCCTCGAGTCTGCAGGGCCTCAGGAGGGTCGCGCTGTGTCCTGTCGGCAT